CTCCCTCGGACGCTCTCAAGCGTGAACCTTTTCTTGGAACGTTCGCACGCAAAACACTTACGTTGAAGCGACGTTGAATCACTCTTTGCCTGCCCAGGCACAAGCACGTGAAAGTCGTCGCGACGTGGCTCAAGGGGCCGGGCGGCCAGCTCGACGAGTTCCACCAGGTCTACGGGTCCAGCGGCGCGCTCTATCGGGAGACGGAGGCGTCCCTCAAGCGCGCGCGCGAGGACGCGCTCCGCGCGCGGCGGAGGCGCGACGCGGCCAAGGCGACGCGCCGCGCGGACTACGGCCGCGGCGCCGCGACGGGCGGCCGGAAGCGGCAGAAGGGGCCCCAGCTCGACGCGACCTGCGCGTCGGCCCTCGAGGAGCTCCGGGCCGTCACGGAGCCCGGCGACGTCGAGGTCGAACGCGTGCTGCGGAATTTGCTGGACGCGCTGCGCGCGGGGAAGAACGACGCCGTCGTCAAGAGCCGGCGCCGCGAGCTGCTCCAGCTCCACGCGCGCTGGTGCCCGCGGTCCGCGCTGCGCACGGACCACACGCCCGCCGAGCGCGAGTCGCAGGCCGCGCTGGCGGACTGGTACCGCGGCGCGGGCAAGTCCGCGCGGTCCGGGAGTAAGGCGTTCGCGCCCGCGCGGCGCCGCGCGCGGAAGCTGCGCCGGAAGCGCGAGACGGCGTCGGACCGCATCCAGACGGCCTTCCGCGTGGCGCCGACCATGGTCAAGGCGCGCGCGCGCGCGAAGCGGGCGCAGAAGCGGACCAAGGCCGCGTTCGACGCGGCGAAGATCGGCAAGTTCGGCCGGGGCTGGGCGAAGACGGCGAGCCGCGCGCTCTGGCCCGGCGCGCGCGACGTCCGCGCCGCGAAGACGCCCGCGTCGGCCCTCGCCGTGCTCGTCGACGCCGCGGGCGGCCGCGCGTCGCGCGCGCGGGAGAGTCTGGTCGGCGCCGTCGGCCGCGGCGGCGACGACGCCAAGACCGCGGCGCACCATTTGGACGCCATCGTCGACGACCTGCGCCACGACGGCGCCCAGCGCGAGCGCACGGACGAGGAGAAGGCCGCCGGGGCCGCGGGCATCCGCGCGCGCATCCAGTACCTGCGGTCGCGGTGCTCGGACCCGGCGGCGATTGACGCCGAGCTCGCGGCGGATCCGCGGTTGCTCATGGGCGGGCCCGCGGGGCTGAGCCGCGTCGAGGCCCTGTTCGCCAACGCGCAGCTCGAGGCCGCGGAGGACGCGGAGGCGACGGCCGAGGCCGCGGGGGCGACGGCCGAGGCGCCGGCCGCCGCGGACGCCGCCGCGGACGAGGAGGAGGACGACGACGACGCGGAGGACGACGACGACGCGTCGAGCGACGGCGACGCGTCGGGCGACGCCGTCGTCGACGAGGCGAAGGAGCGGCGCCGCGCGGAGCGCCGGGCCGCGCGCAAGGCGGAGAAGAAGCGCCTCCGGGACGAGGCGAAGCGCGCGCGCGCGGAGGAGAGCCTCCCGGGCCGCGCGCGGCCGCCGCCGCTCGCGGCGGGCCCGTCGCTGACGAACGCGCTCTACCTCGGCGTGCCGACGAAGAATTCCCAGCCGAGCTCGCCCT